TATTTGCTGATATAATACTTTACACAGAAGACTCAAAATACTCTGCCGAAAGACTTCTAGACTTTATTGGCAGATTCAGTAGAGTAACTGGATATAAGGTCAACACTCAAAAAACAATAGCCTTTTTATATACAAATAATAGTGTCATTGAGAGAGAAATTAGGGAAACAATTCTTTTTATAATAGCATCCAAAAAAAATGAAATATCTAGGAGTCAATCTAACAAAGGAAGCAAAAGACCTCTACACTGAAAACCCTAGCACTTTGAAAAAGGAGATTGAAGAGGATAAAAGAAAATGGAAAGACATCCCTTGTTCCTGGAAAGGAAGAACCAATATATTGAAAATGGCCATACTTCCAAAACTATTATATAGGTTTAATGCAATGCCTATTGAAATTCCAACATTGTATTTCACAGAAGTAGAGAAAACAATCCAAAAATTCATTTGGAACCAGAAGATACCTAGAATAGCAAAAGCAATTCTAAGCAACAGAGACATGGCTGGGGTATCAGAATACCCAACTTGAAACTATACTACAAAGCTACTGTGATAAAAACAGCATGGTATTGGCAAAGAAACAGACCTGAGGATCAGTGGAATAGATGAGAAGATGCAGAAACAACTCCAGACATACTCAGCCACCTCATCTTTGACAAAGGAGCCAACCATCCTCATTTGAGGAAAGATAGCCTATTTAATAAATGGTGTTGGAAAAACTGGATTTCAACCTGCCAAAGATTAAAACTAGACCCATACCTATCACCATGCACTAAATTAAGATTGAAGCAGATTAAAGATTTAAATATTCGGGCAGAAACACTAAACTTTCTGGAAGATGAGTTAGGTAGAACTCTTGAAGACATTGACATAGGAAAACACTTTATGAACAAAACCTCAGTGGCACAGGAACTTGCACAAGGATCAACAACTGGTATCTCATCTAATTAAAAAGCTTCTGCACTGCAAGAGAAATCACCAACAGAGCTAAGAGACAACCTACAATGTGGGAAAAAATTTTCAGCAACTGTATCTTAGACAACGGACTACTCCCTAGAATATATAAAGAATTGAAAAAAATCAGACTGCCCCAAATTCAAAGACCCAATTCAAAAATGGTCATCTGAAATGAACAGACATTTCTCAGACAAAGAAGTAAAAACAGCAAATAAATATATGAAAAAATGTTCAACATTACTGTCTATTGGAGAGATGCAGATGAAAACAACACTGAGATTCCACCTCACCCCACAAAGAATGGCTGCTATCAAGAAATCAACCAATAACAAATGCTGGCGGGGTTGTGGTGAGAAAGGAACCCTTCTCCATTGTTGGTGGGAGTGCAGACTGGTGCAACCACTGTGGAAATCAGTATGGAGTTACCTCAAAGAACTAGGCTTAGAGGTCCCATTTGACCCAGCTATCCCCCTGCTGAGTATCTTCCCCAAAGAGTTAAAAGAATCTTACCACAGCGATAGATGTGCACCCATGTTTATAGTGGCACAGTTTGTAGTAGTGAAAGCTTGGAAACAGCCCAAGTACCCATCAACTGGAAACTGGATAAAGAAGATGTGGGTTTTTTTTATAAAATGGAGTACTAGTCAGCCATAAAGAACGAGAAACTAGAGACATTTATAGCTAAATAGATGCATATTGAGGCCACCCTCTTAAGTGAAATAAATAGGACACGTATGTGTAAATACCAAATAGTTTCTCTAGTGTGAGAAACTGAAAGTGTAAATAAAGATACACATGGATGAAATGGCCTAATAACATTTCTCGGATTATGTTTCCATCACATGTCATATGACTGTATCGAAATTTAAATTAGGGAGAAGTTTGGCTTATGTGGAGTCTTCTCACTAACTGGAGTTTTTTTTAAGATCATTATTTGTTCAATGTTGGTTTTGGGGAATCTTTCTGAAACAAATCACATTCTCTGGTGTCTTGTTGGTGCTTGAGATGCTTTTTTAAGTTATATGGAAAAATGTTTAAGTGCTTTTCAGTTTTGTTTTGGTTGAGTTCTACTGTATTTGAATATTATTGTAGTTTTTTTCCCCTTGCATTGTTCTTCTTTGAATGGTTTTAATTTTTTGTATGTGTGTGTGTTTGATAATAAAGTTATTTTAAAAATTTAAAAAACAAGAAGATCTTTGATGTTCTTCATCAGTATTGTAAAGTTCTCAGAATTTAGCCTTTGAATGTTGCTTCTGCCCCATATTCCCTCTATGGTTAATGTAAGGATCTTTCACTCCTGGACCATAACCACCCAGGAAAATCACTTGAATTTTTAGATCATGATGGGAGGGAGAAATAAACTTTGATAGTGTTAAGCTAGTGGAAATCTCAGGTTATTATTGCAGCTGATATTACCCCTACCATGATCAACAAGTTTAGCATTTTAAATATATTTTTATAGCTTTTTAAAATTGTCCTATTATGTCAAATTGTGGGACATGAATTTTCCTGATTTATTCTGCCTGTGGACTTTATTTCTACATCCTCCTGTGATGTATAGTCTGTTTCCCTGATGTTTTTTGTTTTACTTTGAACTGATTCTCTTTAGCATTGTGATTTTCTTTTGGAGTCCTGTGTGTGAAGTTACTGAATTCTTCCCCCAGAAGAATCCTTGAATCCTAAACTATGTGGGTGCACACATTTGAACATATGCTTAAAACTGTTGTACATCTGGGGTCTTAAATGTACAATTACCCTTTTTCCCTATCCAGAGTCCAAGCAAAAAGCATTGTTCCTCTCATTTGCAGGAGTAACAGTTGAGTTTTCCTGAACTTTTATATATTAGGAGAAATTTTTCCAAGCTCTAGACTTGAGTAAATATCTCCATTCCAGTTCCCGGTCTTTTATCGGTCGAGCAGCTGCCTCATTGGAATGTGTTAACATTTTAGACTTCTGTCCTTGAGTCCATGTCTTTGTCTCCCTCTCCTGGGGGCTCTGGTAGCAACAACACCTTGTGAGTGATGATGTGCAATTTGTTCTTCACCTCTGTCTCTATAAGCTCAGAGAGGCATCCATTTTTTGTTACATCTTTCTTACCATTTCTTAATACTGAGAACGGGCGCGAGCCTGCAGAATCCCCATCAGATTTGCTCCTAGAAAAATTTACTTCTTCATTTCACAAATGAAAAAAATCTGAGTCTCAGAGAGAGGGTTGAACATAGCCAAACTCACAGACCTGCTGACTGGCATGATGGAGACTGAAACGCAGCTTTCATGCTCACATGGTTAGGAGCTGTGAATCGAGTGAGTGAACTGCGGTCATGGGCCCTCCTGAGGCTAGCAGAGGACAAGGCATATATAGGTTTTTGATCAGTTGTCCCACCTGCAAACGTTTTATTTCGAGGTTTCTGATATGATGCGGGGGCAAGAGCTGTAAGGAAGAAATTCTGGTTTCCAGAATGTGTTCCCATGGCCAGGCTGAAGGAATGGGTGTTCTGGGCTCGTGTCCCTCTGCTAAGCGAGGCAGGCCTCTAGGCCCTTGCGGAATGTGAACAGCAGCTAATACCTTGCAGCACATTCCTTTACCGAGTGCCTATTCAGGGGCCAGATGGGGTGGCGACCAGGAGCCAGATGCCAGCTCCATGGGTTCGCCGAGTCCTCTTTCCCGCTGTCCCCTTCCACTGCTGGGACACCTGCTTTCCAGACCTGGTCCGTTGTCCCCGCTTGTGCACTGTTCTTCCAAAAGCGTCAATTTTCCTGCTTCTAGGCTCTTTCCAGTCATTAGAGCCTATACCAATTAATTGTTTATACATCCATCCGGGAATTGGCATGTCTTCTGAGGACGCTGCATTTCATTGCTCTTCCAATACCTGGGCTTGGTACCCCATTCCTACTGCTGGGGCGCCTTCAAGCTCAGGCACCTGTGGTGAGCCTCTCCCTAGGGGCCAGAGCCATCCCAGACTTCCGTGTCTTAGCCCGTGGGCAAGGCAGCTGCTGTCTGGTCGCCCAGAGCTGACCCGGGAAGTTCAGAGTTCTGGGGTCTGCGGGAAGGAGGGCTACAGCGCCGCCTGTGGCGACGCAGGGACCCGGCCTTAGCTTGCATCGCCCCGAAGCCCTTGTCAGACCCTCCCCACTTCTACTCCTCTCTTCTAGAGCCACGCCTTCTCTACAACCCCGGCTCTGTCTTCCTCCAGGATGCTCGGGCTGGTGTCCTGGCGGAACTTCTCCTTGCTATGAACTGCCTTGGGTTCAAAAAGGCCTAGATATGATCATCAAGGTTTTGTTTTATTTTTATTTGTGTAAATGCATGTTTGCAGTACATAATGCTGACGTTCATTGTGAGGACTTGGGACGTGTACATACACACCTTAACTCTTTTTATCCCCCCACCCCCCTCACTAAGTTTTAGCAGTTCTTCCAGCAAGAGGCTGGAGTTAACTTTTCAGTCTTCGGAATAAAAAGAAAAGGAGACCAAATCAGGCGAGCTGCTGAGAATTCCCCCACACATTTGCAGCGCCTCTCCTGCGCCACAGACTGAGCCCAGCGCTGCCAGAACGGAGCCCAAAATCCAGCTGCCGACGCCAGCAGGGGGTAGCTGCAAGGACTAGAGTTCTGTGGGATCCGGGAGGGGACCCCCTCTGCGGGGCCGGGCAGGTTGGGGAGTCTTCCGAAGTCGGCTTTCCGGTGGCTGCCAGCGGGCGGCTGGCACAGCGGAGGGAATCCAGAAGGGCTGGGTTCCAGAATGATCCCGAAACAGCTCCTGCGGCGCACAGGAGGGAGCTGCCAGGGGACAAAGGATGCCAGGGTCAGGGCCAGGCCGGGGAGCCCCCGCGAGCCCCCGCGAGCACGGAGGCGCGGTCCCCGAGGCGCGGCGCGCAGGGCCAAGCGGGGGCGCCTGGGGCGCGGGTGCCCGGAGCCTCCAGCGCGGGGCGCGTCCTCGGGGGCCGGGCCGGAGCGCGGGGAGAGGGCCGAGCGTCACGTGGAGGCGCGGGGGCGGAGGCGCGGGGGCGCGCGCGGCTCTTTAAAGGCGCGAGCCGGGTCGGAGCGGTGCGCGGCGGCCGCAGGCGCAGGCTCGGGCGACAGCGGAGACGCCGGCGGGCGCAGGCAACAGCCGGGGACCCAGCATGCGCGGCCCGCGGGGAGGCGCCTGGCTGGCGCTGGCCGCGTCGCTCCTGCACGGTAAAGCGCCGCTCCTAGCCCTGCGCTCTCGCGCTCCCGCGCCTCTGCTCCTCGCGGGGTCCCGGGCACACCCGGGCGGCTCCGAGCGCGGCGCGCCGGGCGGGTCGGGGTCCCCGCCGGCGGGGCGCTGCCGGGGTAGGGGTCGCGGGCTGAGGGCCAGGGCTGCACCCCGCCGGCCTTCCCTGAGCAGCTCTCCGGGCTCTCTTCTTCCGAAGTGTCCCTGCAAGGCGAGTTCCAGAGGAAGCTCTACAAGGAGCTGGTGAAGAACTACAACCCCTTGGAGAGGCCCGTGGCCAACGACTCGCAGCCGCTCGTCGTGTACTTCTCCCTCAGCCTGCTGCAGATCATGGACGTGGTGAGTCCGGCGCCGGGTGCAGGGCTGTCCTCGCCCGCGGGCTCCCGGGGTCTGCCGGCGGCGGCCGGGTAGCTTGGCCCGGACCCCAGCCGCCCGGGCCGCCTGCCTGGGTCTCCCCCGGCGGAGGAGGCATGGCTGGCGGTGGGTCCGCTCCCGGCTACCCGTGCTTGGTACTTGGCTCCCATCTTCCCCTCAGCTTAGGAACTCAAGGAAAAGTATCCGGAGTTGGCAAGCGGTCTCAGGACCGGTGCGAATGGTCACATTTTAGCTTCTTTGGAGTCAGCGAGACTAAGGGATTCCAGGCAGGGCAGACACTTCTGGGTTTTCCTGCCGCTCCTGCGCGGCATTCAGAGCAGAGGTAGAGGCCTGGCCCGGGGCTCCGTGCCGTGCCTGGTGAATCTGACTGGGCAGAGGGCGGAGGCCAGCGCTGGGTGCTGAGACTGCCACTCCCATCTTCGTCCTGAACATTTGCCCCTTCCCGGTGAGGACGGAAGGCAGTCCTGCACTCAGGACTCAGGCTCCACACCAGGGCTACACTTTTCTGTCCTTTCGGGCAGCTGCTGCGAGCTCCCGCCTCTCGCCTTGTAGCCTTGTCAGTGGCAGTCTGTGCAATAACCACGCCAACTTGCCTTGCTCCTCCAGAGGGCTCTGGGTGTCCTGCCCTCGTTGGTGCAGCCTTCCTACAGTACCGGTGCTTCACAGAAGCGTTTCATTCATTCTAAGTGGGTCTGAACGTCTTCTCTCTACCAGGTATTGGGTTCTGGAGCCCAAGGGGGCGGGGTAAGGTGAGACAAAGGGATAACGATGCTCATGGGGAGGGGTTAATATGGCAGCAAATATGTGTGATTGATAATTAGCTGCTACTCCAGGTAGAAAATGCTAAGGGTCAGCACGGGAGTTCAAGTAAAGAGGTATAAGGTGACAGGTGATATTTCATAATCCTGCACATGGTTATCCACCACCGTGCTGATGCTACTTAATCTGGTTAATGGCTTCCTTTCTCATATTACAGCTGTGTCAGATGTGCACTTCTTCCTCCAACAACATCGTGCTTTAAATACTGAATGCGTGCTTGCGGGTAGGAAAAGTTGTTGTGAGATAAGATAGCTGCTAGCCTCTGCTTTCCTGTTTTGTAAGTCAGGTGCTGTTTGCAGAGCACAAGCTACAGGAAAGACGAAAGGTTGGAGATTTTGAGGTAGACGGACAGAAGCTGAACAAAGCAGTTCTGGAGGTGATGTGTTGATGGAAGCCAGGTTGGAGGAAGTGGAGGTGCTGCAAAGGCTGTGGGGTGGAGAGGGGAAATACAGACCCCAGGGCATTTGCCGAGATAGCAGCTTGCAGAGAAGCTCCTTGATTTCTTTAAGGAGCTCATAGTTGTACCTGGGTTTTGGTAGCTTCTGGCTGTGCTGGGCTCCAGAGGGCTGATCTTAGGTAAGTTTCTTGAGTATCCAGAACCTTGACTCTCTTGTTAAGAGAATGGAGACTGTAGTACTTCCTGGGTCCTCGTCATATGATTAAAAACTATAGAGACAACTGTAAGAGACTCCAAAGCTAGACGCTGGGCGTTTTCATACAAGAACCACATAGGGAAGGGCCCAACAGCTGAGCTCACACGTTCCGCAAGTGGCTCATGATAGGAGGAGAAAGGGAGTCAGGTCCCCCCTCTTCCGCCCTTGCTCAGGCCTGCTCTAGCTGGGTGTCCCCTGCTCCATAGCAGCCTCTCAAGCGAGCCTGCTTGCCTTGGCTGGACAGTGTGATAGTGTAGGGGCCACTCAGCCTAGGAGCATGTGCAAGCGAGGGGAGACACCTTTGGAGAGGAGACCACTGCCCACTCATGGAGAGCTGCAAGGTTTCATTCTAGGCACCTTTGCCTCAATAAACAGGTTCCCAAGGGCATGAGCTAATGGTCATACATGCATGACTGTCCATCAGGAGGCTTGAACCATCCGCTTTGGAAATGGATCTAAACACTTTTATAGGTCCTTTGACTAATAAAATTAAATCAGAGCTGCCCAGCAGCAAGACATATGAATTATGGCCTCATTGGGAACGTGTTATGGGACTCTGAAGGAATCCCATTAGTAGGAGGCATGCTGGCTCTTAGGAAAAGTTAAGGTGTAAGTTAGCATTAATGATATGAAAAATTTACAAAGTTTCTTACATTAGAAAAATTTTTTTAAAATAGCAAATCTTAGGCACTGTGTGTCTTCCTTTCAGTATCAGAAAGACACATGTGAAGATGGCTTTCAGCAGCCAGGGTCACGGGAGGGTAGGGGTGAGGGAGAGTTGCAGTCTCACCTTGGTTGTGAAGACTTGAACTTCCTAGCCAGGAAAGCTGTGTGTTTGTGGAGTGTCCTTCAGGAAGTGAATTCATTTTCCTAAGCCCTGATGTCTCATGTGTAAAATGAGAAGAATACTATCCCCTTCAAGTGCCTGCCACACACTGATGCTTCACAGAGTTTGTTCCATCTTAATTCTGTAGCCATTCAGCTCGGATGGCAGGGAGCCTGTGCCTGGAAGGGTGTGATGGCCTTCCCTGCCCAGGGTGATTAGTCAGAGTGAGGAGGAGAACCCACCTGGACCCACAGGTCCCTTACCAGCATCTGCTGCCTCTCTTAGACTGAGGAGCCTCTTTGGCAGAACAAAGTCAGCTTAATCTGCTTGCACTGGCTGAACTGGAACTGAGTGAATGTGACTGTCCTAAGCTCCTGGATGAGAAGGAAGTGTCTATATCAGCCATAATGAAATATGCAAACATTTGTATTCCAGGCCTGCTGGGCTCTCCCTAAATTTGAAGCATTTCCAGATCTTTTCAGATGAAATCTCAGCTCCGTGGATCAGAGACACTGTGGTTCTCAGAAGGGAATCTATGTGACACAATCTTGGCTGGTACAGATTCCTTTACAAATTCAATTCCAGGGATCACTTGCCCATTCCAACCGAGCTGTTCTAGAGGCCACAGTTGTCTCCCTCTCCGCACCAAAATGTTTTATTATTATTGTTCCCCTTTTTGTCAGGAGAAATTTCCTGGCTGGAGTAATATGGAGGTGGCATGTGGTGCTACGTATTTTATTTTCATGAAAAATCATTTGTCCTTTTATCAGTTTATTCCACATATATTTATTGGGCTCCAAGTGTGGACTTTGCTGGACTCTGAGAATTCACAGATGAATAAGGGATGGTTTCTACTTTCAGATATCTCACAGTCTAGATAGGGAGGCTAACAGTAAATCTACAATGACCGCGTGCGATGAAATTTCACACAGACATCTGTACTAAGTGCTACAGATCAGCAGAGGAAAACATTTCCTACCACAGTGGTTGGGAAGGGTCTTGAAAGGGAGGTCATCAGCGTTCCTAAGGTGAGTAGGAATTTGCCAGTTGGAGAACATAGGAAGAGCTTTCAGGACCTGGGCACAAAGTGTGGAAGGGTAGGGGAGCAGTGTACATTCTGCAAGGTGTGTTCTGCAGAATCTTGGCTCCTGGTTGATCTGTGCTGCAGGTTTTGCTATAAAACTTCTTGAAGTTTAGCATGCTTATGTTTATCGAGACCTTCTAAGAGAAGAATATAGTATTGGCCAAACTACTAGCAGTCTTACTGACCCTCCTGTCTGATTATGCTCTAGAAACACACCTTCTCAGAGAAAAGCTGTGACTGTTATTGGAAGGTGATGCTAGTGTGTGAGTTGTCTTGGACTCTGCAGAGTTCACGTGTTGCCTTGGGCCCTGGTCGGGGTGTCTCAGAGGGAGAGGAGAGGCAGCCGCCAGGGAGTGTGGTGGAGCTGCAGACTGGGTTGCCTCAGCATATTCTCTTGGATGGAAAAATCCAAACCAGGATACTTGTATTAAATCCAAGAAGTATAAATTATAGATTCAAATGAAAAAATGTGCATATATTTTAAATCTAAAATTTGAGTCTTCAAAGGAAGTATTTTATCCACTGGGGTCTGCTCCAGTTAGTTAGGGCCCCCTTGGTGAAGCACTGGGTAGGGAGTGAGAAGGTATGGTGAATTTCTGAGCAGGGGAGGAAGGAGCTTGGTTATGTGAGCTAGAAGATGCTGAGAACATTGAGTATTGGATGGCTTACAGAGGGAAAATACAGGTAAAGAATATGAAGGTTTTTCTTAGTTCATTTCCTGTTGCTATAACAGAATACCTGAGATTGTGTAATTTATAAGGAACGTGGTTTATTTTGGCTCATGGTTATGGAGGCTGGGAACTTCAGGAGCATGGTGCTGGCTGATGAGGACCTTTGCTGCTTTAGCTCCTTCAAAAAGTAGAAGGAGAAGTGGGCACATGCAGAAGAGAAAAGACAGGTGGGCAGCCTCCGTGATAACAACCTGTCCTTGCAGTAGCTAATCCAGTCCCGTGGGAATGAATCCAGTCCCCTGAGCACGGCACTCATCCGCTCATGCTGGCTCTGCACTGTGACCCAAGCACCTCCCACTATGCCTCACCTCCCCACTGTACTGCATCGAGGAATTTGAGTTTCAACACACGAACTTTTGGGTGAACACTAGAATGACCTAGGAGAGGAGGAAAGTGGACAGATGTTTGGGATGCACCATCTGTGATATGTAACCCTGGGTGTGAACACCATGGACGTAGATCAGGTGAAGTGAAGGTGCCTCAGCTATTCCCAAATGCGTACTCTGACTTTCTGTGTTTATTAATTTGCCCCATGAGCGTGTCCCTGGGTAGGAATGAGGTAATACCTAAGAAATCGTCTGGAAGTGAGTGGAAGTTCTAAATGGCTGACTGTTTCCGTAATATTTCTCCTCCACTCGTGCCACTGGGTCAGTTGCTTGGACGCATACATCTAAAGGCCATTCACAGGTTGATTTGCATAAAATAAGTGCACACAGTTTTGAAAACATGTCTGGAAGGCAAGGTGTTTAAAACAAATAATATGAATCAATACACAGTTATACCCAAATACAAAACACACATTATGCATGCATGATTGCTGGAATTTTATTGAGTTTTGGACTGCAAATCTA